TTAGAAATCTCTCTTCCTTTCTGTTACTTACCCTTCAAGACCTGGGTCAGACATGAGCTGCTTTGAAGTTCCCAGCAGTGGCAAATACTGTACCTCTGTTCCCATAGCACCCTGAGTATAGCATCATAATAAGTTACATTATGGAAATAATTTTATTCAACATTTGTTTTAACCACTAACCTGCAACCCTTTCAAAGGCAGAGAATATATTTTAATTCAATTTTGTATTTCTCACACCTACTGCAGTATCAAGCACACAGTGAGCCCTTAATAAAAGCTGACTGACTTTGTTAATGAGCACTTGAGGTTTAGTAGTAATGAACATCACCCTCTGAACAGCAACCATCATTTCCTAAAGTATGATGAAGAACAGGGACTTCCATATTTGCCATCCTTGGTTCAGTATGGATAAATACCAAATCTGAGCTAGAACTGATATTTCTAGTATGAAGACTGAGAGAGATGCACTAATGCTATGTACGATGTGTTTTTCTCTTTGTCTTTTTCTACATATCTAAAATAAGGACAGAGACCTAGGATCTGCAGACCCAGATGCTATTTCTAAGTGACTGTAGTTTCTCGCTGTATGTCCCTTTCTTTACTTTGGGGTGAGGGAAGAACTTCAAGAGGTTCATGGAAAATATGCATTATGAGAAGCAATATGCACGGATCTAAAAATTTTGCACCAAAATAAACTTGTATTTTAATTACATTTTTGTCAAACTTTCTGAATTTCTCTAATATGTAACAATGGAAGAGGATTCAGTTTTATTCTGAAACTTAACCAAGTGCTCAGTTCTCAGCTTCTGGAACATATAAGATAAGAAATGGTTCCTATCCTAAAGGAGACTGCATCATATAATATTGCGCTTACAATTTGGTAAATTTATCCCAGCTCTGATAATCTGTGATGCATTTGTTTTTTCTCTATCCTAAGAGCATATCTGGGAAGAGAGGTAATAACTTTAAACAAAACAAAGTAAGGGTGGGCAGGTCAGACTGTGGGAAACAGGCTTGACAGTGCTTGGTTCCTTTTGGCCAGGAGGTAAATCTGAGACCTGATTACTTCCTTTATTGCCCTCAAGGTGACTGATTACATTTGCTTCCTATTGCCAACAATATGTCAAAAACCACTTTACACACTTTTGATTTCATCCTGTCTCTGGAAGCAATAACTGAATTCAAAGCATAAGCTGCTTTGAACATTTAAAGGTTATTTGGACATCATCATTCTAGAGACCTCCTCTCTGCCCAACCTCCCTTTTTCTTTTTCTCCCCCTCCCTTCCCAACCCCCAGCTTCTCCTTCCCTCAAAGTTCTGTTACCTTATCACCTCTTTTCTCCAACATTTAGGCTCCTACCAGGAAATGTTAAATGGTAAAATGCTTAGTTCTTTTTGAGGCAATTAAAAGGGATGAGTTTGATACTTCCTGTTACAGAATTTTAAAAGGTAGACATTTCATTCCATTAGTATTTAGTACACTGTTTTTTTTTTCTATTTTAAAGCATTTTTTCCGCAATACAAATGTTGTACTGATCTTTATGTTATTTCTATTCATGAAGAAGACCCATTTGCACAGTGCTTATTCATCAATGAATGCAGTTTATAGTTAAGCCACATAAGGCTTAATGGGACGATGCTGACAGGCATAGAATAGTGCAGATTTTGTTTCCTGAAGATTGATCATGTATAGATCAGTTGATCATTTTTTTTCCAGGTTGCTTCTTACACTGATGATGAGAAATTTTTCACATTTGTAGAAAGCTATGGATTTCAATAAACCTCTGTCAAGACTGCAGACCTCCCTACTCAATATCACTTTTTAACTTGAACATCTTTTCTGGCAGAGATAGGAAGTGCTATTTGTGCTGCTATCTTTAATAATTATATTGTTGAAAATGGTAGGGGTGGGAGTGACAGACTTGAGAGACAGGTTCTTCTGAATGACAAATTGTTAATACAACAGTATGTAGGCCTTGCAAATTTTTAAGGAAATGGTGAGACTGTGTGCATACTTAAATTTTAATATTACCTTTGCTATAAGTACTTTTCTCTTGTTGTGTTAAGTATTATTTTGTTCCTATAGTTATCAAACATCTGAATTCCTTCTCCCTGAACCCTGTCTTACTTTTTTTCTTGTGATATGTTTTATGAAATGTAAAATGTAACCTGCTTATTAGATTACTGTTTCTCACCTCTTTGATTTTATTGTCCTTGAGAAACAAATACCCACAATGAATTAGGATTATAATATCAAGTGATTTATTATAATACTTCTTTATATACAACTTAATTTTTTAAATTAAAAATATATTTTTAGTTCATCTATTTTTTATTATTTTTTATTAGAGAGAAGCAGAACCCCTGGCAGGGTCTCAATGCCCAGATCCACCCCCATCATCAGGCAGCCCCCATCATGGGTATGTGCATGCCACGTTCACTCAGGGAGTTCTCCAGTGCTAACCAGGACCCTCGCCATGTGTGTCAGTCTTGTAGAGCATTATTTTTTATATTGTGCTAATGTTGGCCCCTACATGCAACTTTAATAAGTTTCATTTTATAGAGAATTAGTTTATATATAACATATATGAGTGGATGCCAATTTTAATTTAATGATTCATATTCTGTAGTTTAGAAGAAAGTTAGTGGATCTAAAAATGGTTGAACCTTGACCTGTAGGCCTGACTATTCTAGTAGTTATAATTGTTATGTTAGGGGTGATACATTTTAAATAGCTATGTTGTATTATTTATTACTCAGATCAGGGAACTTACTGATTTACATGAATTGATATGCTTTCTAAATTTTGTGGTGGGTCACAATGTAAGCATATTAAGTGCAACAAAGTCTTTTTGTTATTTTAACATAATTTTAAATTACTTTGTATATTTTGGTGTAAGGCATTTTTATGAATAGTAACTATTCTCCACAATGATTGAAGGCGATCACAATATGAATAATTCCAAACCATTCACATCAGCTTTAGACTATTTTTATAGGCAGATTTTGAATATAGAGAGATTGCTGAAAATTCACTTCAAACAAAATATTGAAGACCCACTGTGAAGGACTAACACAAGAGGATCTGACAAACAGACTCCACGCATCTCAATACCAGCCCAAGTGAAATTCTCAAATTACTCCTTATGTGTTTGATTTCAGGCTTCCCTGCTGTATGTGAAATAGAATAAATACAGAATAGGATGTCAACGAGGCAGTTAAGCGGGATGCTGTAGGTGTTTTCATGAAACATGAAAGCCAGATTTGAAATGCCTATAGGTAATCTGTCTGTTGCTGATAGTAGAGAATAAACCCTTCACTTTTGAAGTGGCATCCTGGTTTGAAAACAGCAACTTGTATTTAACTTTCTTTCTTACCTTAACTGTAATAGCAACACTCTGTCTTTTACAGGGGAGTAACTTTCTGTTTATGTATATATTTGAATTAGTTATTCCGTGGCTTCTGCTGGATAGAAAAGAGATAAGCAAGATAGTCTGACAAGAATACCAATGTAAATGGTAGATTTTTTTTTTTTAAATCAAATTCTGAACATTTACAGGTGGTCATGCTATGTTCACAGAGGCGTGTAAATGAAGATGGATTTGAAATAATATTTGTATGTTTTTGTAAATGCTGGTTTTCATTTTCTCATTTTTATTGAAAATGTTATATTGTGGTCGGGCCTCATAGTGCAGTGCTGAGAGTTGTGCATGGAGGGCCAGATCTCGCATGGCTGACTGTGTTTGAATCCCAGCTCCAGTGGCTTGAAGATTATGTTGGCTATGTGCCTGCATCCGAGAATCCTGGCAGGATGAGAAATGAAGGAGGAAGGATTGCTGCTTGACAGTGCCCTGAGCCTTGCTTCCTTTCCCTCCCATTCTTTATTGCTCCCTCCGTCTGTCTGTCTATCTGCCTCTCTCTCTCTGGTGAGTGCATATGCTCTCTGGCAATTAAAAATATGCAAGTGTTATATTGTAACTTAAATAAGAAAATGGTATTTTTTGATATGTAACTTAAACTTGATTTTTGTTTATAATGTCCTATTTTGATTATTTTGATGAATTTTCTCTTTAGCATTCTATTCAAACACCCCACAAACATACATAAGTGCATACATACACATGTGTACAAAGAAGAATACAGAAATGTTATTTCTTGGCGTATATTTCTAAATTTCCACTGGAAAAAAAGGCACCAATTTCTATTAAGGTAGTGTTTCTATAATCAAGGCAAGTTTTGTCTAGTGGCTAGTTATATATGTCCTAGTTGTATAAAAGTACAGAGATTTGGATCATGGAGCTTATGGAACTGGTGTGATTTGGTTAAGATGGAAATATCACTTGAAAGATAAGGATGGAACTTCTAATTTTTTAAACACTTGGAATTTGAAACTTAAGAAAATTCTGAACAGTTACACTGATACACTTGACTGTGTGGGATAGTCTCTTTATTATTTGGATTAGTTGTGCTTGTAATCTTTTTCTTTAGGTCAGTCTGCATCTTTCCTTCACAGTTTGTTACTTGCACAGTTTTTGCTCTCTCGAATAGTCCAAAATGAGGCTTATCTAGTGGCGTGCTGGTAAATGTTTTATAGTCAGCTCTGAGTAGGTGGGTGGGAGGGGAACTTTGATTGGGAGCATTAACCAGTTTCTGTAGTGTCAATACCTTCCCCACAGCTAATTTCAAGCTACCAACATTAAGTCACTGAACACAGAGCATGAAAGAGAGGGTCCTCATCAGATCTCACAAGTCAGCGCAAGCTGGGTTTAGCATACCCCTGGCTTATCTTTGCCTTTTTTTTGTTTTTCCCCCCTACTAATATGAATCATAAAGGATTCTGTATATGATGCTCTTCTTACATTGCAATTATGATTATGATATGAATATAACAAGTGTACAGTTCCTCTGGGTAAGTAACATTACAATACTTAGGGATATGTAACATTCAATCCAAACTTGAATACTCTCTTAGTATTACTCCCTTTTTTCTTGTTTTTCAGTTGGGTGGAAAGCTTTGGACATGAGGGGCTCGGATTATTACTAGACATTCTGGAAAAATTGATCAGTGGAAAAATGTAAGTATTGGTACTAATTATTTTTAATTAAGCATCATGTCCCATTATAATTCTATCACTGATATCTTTTATGTTAATACAGCCAAGAAAAAGTTGTTAAGAAGAATCAACACAAAGTTATACAATGTCTAAAGGCCTTGATGAATACACAGGTATGTATGTAGATAATTAATATTTCTCATTTATCGATTCTTAGATGAATTAGTAAGAGTTTTATAATGTGTGATTTTCCCTTGCACTGAAGTGATGATATATTATTCTGATGTACTTATCAATCATGAGAGAAAAAATAACAAATAGTATTAAGTTCTAGATCGAACTATCTTGCAAGAGGAGAAGCTTGAGAATGAGTAGATTCTCTTCTGGTGCTTAACGTTTCTCTCTTTCTCTCAATCCTTATATCCCTCCCTCCCTATCTTCCTCCTCCTATTTATCTTCGGTCTTCCTCCTCTCTCACTCCCTTATTGCCTTTTAAAAATTTTTGAAGGTACAAATCAAGTCAGCTTTAACATGCATGATTATTAAATGGTGTCTGCAATAGAGCTGACTCCATGGTGTGGCTGTAACATGCTATTACAGAGATGCTCAACTCCACATGCTGACCATGGTTTGAATCCCTGGTCAGCCTGAAACGTACTGGGCACACATACGAGTGCCCAAGTTGTGGCAGGCTGGAAGAATGGAAGAAGGAAAAAATGACCAGACCCTGTGAAAGGTGCTCCTCTTTCTCACATTACACTGCGTATGCCCACACTATTGTGAATAATGAAAATATTGTAACGTAGTGTGTCTTAATACTTATTATCAAAGAATCAAGTTGGAAAGTCTTAGTTCTTATATTCTAGGAATTGTAGATGTATAATCAAATTAATGAAAAGAGATATGAGCAGGTACTAGAAATAGCAACGATGCTTAACCCAAGTAATATTGAAGTCAGGTATAATATGGAGGATCTGCACAATTTGTATGTTTAAAGAGGCTACATTAGAAGGAAGAAATCATATAAACTATTTACTGAAGTTAGATTTATCTGACAGTGTTTCTTTGTTTGTTTTTATAATGTTAATTCCAGAAATTAGTATTAGGCCATTTCTCAACTCCAGCATGTAAACACATCTACCTCATGATGTGTGAAGTAATGATAGGTGTTCAGGTTGCTGTTAGACAGCAGGGGAGAACATTTTACCTGTGGCGGTGTGATGATTTTTGTTTTATAGCAAAACCATCTGTATATCTCAGATTAATTTTAATTTATAATATTTTTCCTTTTCATTTAAAAATAATTTATAGAGAGCTACACACTTAAAAACTATTACTTAAATTCTATTTTTATTAAATGTAGTAAATATTTATATTTTCCAATCATTTGTATTTTATTGAATTATTTATGTACTTAAGTATTTTCTGGAGCTAAGTTTTCTGTTTTTTATTTTAATTTTTAGGTTTTTTAGAGAGATTTTTTTCTATCCTGTGCACATGCTCGCCAGAGAAATGAATGATAGCCATACTGCAGTCCCTTCTCCATTCTCCTCTCAGGATTTTGGCCATGCACACATTCCTGCCCAGCATGACTTTTAAGCCACTGGGTCCGAAACTCAAACTGCAGTTTACAGTGTAGGAGTCCAGCAATGTAAAAATTACACCATCTGCTGTTCCCTGTATTTCTAACCAATAAAATATTTTTCATCCCTACCTCCTTGAATCTGATAGGGTTTCTTAAGAAAAATATCTGATATGGATATCCTAACTCCTTTTCATAACTGAATTCATTTTTGAGAATTTTTAAACTTTTAATGTATGCACCTGAGATAGAAAGAACACCACAATGGGTCCTGGTTATGCTACAGTTATTTTTCCTCCAATTCTGTATCCTGTCAGGATCCTGGACACTTGCATGCCTGGTGTGAAACTGATGTGTCTGGGACTTGAACCTTTGCTGGCCATGTGGGATCCAGCTTCCTTTGCACAGCACCTAACCACCATACACAGGGCTGACCTGAGAATTAGTGTTTTTGATTTATTGAGTAACTTTTCATATCTCTTTTAAGACAACATGAATAAAGAAATCAGAAATTGCTAATAAGGAGAGTATTTATTTATTTATTTATTGGAGAGATTTTCACTGTAGGGCGCGTGCGCTCGCCAGACAGACAGAGAGAGACATAGAGACAGAAAGCGAGAAATCACCCCCCAGGGAGGATGGTCACGCCGCAATCCCTTCTCCTCCATTCTCCTCTCGGGATCTTGGGCACGCACGCACATGCGCCCGGCGTGAGTTTTAAGCCAACGGGTCCGGGACATGAACTGCGGTCGACTATGTGGGATTCCAGCGACATAGCCATTACGCTAACTGCTGGTTCCCCCTCCAAGTCATATCTTAACTCCCCTTTTCCACTTTGTTAAAAATAGTAGTTAACATATATTGAGACCCTGTTGTGTGACAAGGGCCATACGAAAGCCTTCATGTTTTATCGAATACTTGAAAGCAATGTACCTCATCAATACATAGAAATATTTGAGGAGACCCTTCCTAAAGTAAGAATACAGAAATTGGAAGTTTCATTGATTGAGAGCAGAGAAAAACCAGCAACATTTATCATACCAAAGGACCATGTGGAACATAATTTGAATTTAGGAAGAATGTCATGGTTAAAGTGGTATATAGAAGATACGATAGCTACTTGGTTTGTGACTGAATTAGAGAAGGAATGAATTTTATGTATTATACTTCTAAGTTTTGATTATATGGAACTGTAAAATATAGATAACTTGTATTTGGTATTATTATCTGTGCTTTATTATCACAGTTAGAATAAAAAATTAAGGGACCAGCAGATGGCATAATAGTTATGTTGCTAGACTCCCACGTACTAGTACTTGACCATGGTTAGAGTCCCAGACTCAGTGGCTTAAAAACTCATCCCAGGTGCTTGTCTGTGTGCGCCCAAAATCCCAAGAGGAGAAGGGATTGTGTTATTGCCATACTCCCTGTGAGGTGATTTCTTGTTTTCTGTCTCTCCAGGGAGTGCATAAGCCCTATAGCAGATATGTCTTTTTAAAAAAAAAGAAAACAATTAAATTGCTAATACTTAGTGCTTTTGGGTTATTGGAAAAGGCATGATACATTTTTGCATGAAAAAAACCCCAAAAAATCTGTTAAGACTTTTCCAACAACCCAATATAATATCTTAATTTAGTAATATGTGAAATTTTTGGTAAAGGTTTTACCTTCAAGAATTGTTGATGGTTTTTCCACACTTTATTTTTTCATATATATAAGGGAAATCTGTTAAACCTCTTTATGCTGTCTTTGTCAGAGTTTTTTGGATAATACTGGTTTTGAGAAAAAGTAGTGCCTTATTTGGTACCAGTAATTAATGATATGATGAGCAAATTTGTTAACATCACATGAAAGTGAATTTCTTATAACACTAAAACAGACTAAAATATTTTTAAAATGGAAGATTTTAATTACCTAGGAGGAAGAAAATTAAAGTAAGAATGAAATATTAATCTATTTAAATTGAAAGATTATTAGTAGAAAGGCTTTGTTAACTCTTTGTACAGCTCTGAAGTCTATAGCCAAAGTAAGACTGCTCCTGAAGCCATTCTCCTTACCCATATTGTCTCTGTTGTAGGGATTAACTCACCACGATTACTTGCTTAGCACCAGTATTAACATAGCATGGTTTAAGACACTGGGCATCCTGCCCAGGGATTTAGGATACTAACCTTCCTCTTCCTAAAACATCTTCAAGGGCCCCAAATTCCATCTATTAGGTAATAATAGGCCTTATGTAGAATGCAAATAGAACCTGGCATTGAACTTCAGTTTAGAACAGGCCTACTACCGTATAATCCAGAGTTGGTCCTTGATATTCAGGAAAGATACATCCTTAGACCTTTGAAATTTTGTTTCACCTCTCTAACCTATAATATCCTTTATTAAATGTACTTTAATTCTAGGACTGGTAAGTTAACTATTTCTCACAGTCACAGTTTTTGTTTGTTTTGCTTTGCTTTGTTTTTTAAAATAATGAGACTAATTTCATGTAATAGGTAGCAATTCCGTATTTTGTTATACTGGCCTTTTCCAGTTTTAACAAGAGCACTACAGATTTTTAAATTAGCAAAATCTTAGAATACACTTGTGATAAATCTTTAGGGTCTCTAACCTATAATATCCTTTATTAAATGTACTTTAATTCTAGGACTGGTAAGTTAACTATTTCTCACAGTCACAGTTTTTGTTTGTTTTGCTTTGCTTTGTTTTTTAAAATAATGAGACTAATTTCATGTAATAGGTAGCAATTCCGTATTTTGTTATACTGGCCTTTTCCAGTTTTAACAAGAGCACTACAGATTTTTAAATTAGCAAAATCTTAGAATACACTTGTGATAAATCTTTAGGGTCATAGGATGATGGTCAAATACATGAAATCAGAGAACGCTCTTTTTCTATCCTTCAAACATGGTGGTTTGAAGGTAACTTGTATCACTTGGAGGAAATCAGCTTGAATCACATTGAGTGGCTGGAGTAGTCTTGGGATTCTGATTCCAGAAGAGCAGGTACTGATAGCTAAGGACAGCCAGGTGGGTGGGATATGAAGGAGAAAGCTGGCGGTCAGCTTTATTCAGTCCTCAGGTTTATTAGGACAGAGCTAGCTCTTTAGTACTTAGTAATTATTGACTGATTGACTTTCTGAATTCAGTCTAAGTGGGACTAAGTTGCTGACAATTCCCTGAAAGGATTAGTGAGGCATATCATAGTTTCTGGCTCTACGCTTGCTTTAATTCTTTGTTTCCAGTTCTGAAACAGCCCAGGGCATCATAAAAGCATTTCCTGACTGGTTTAGCTGTTTCTTTGTAAATTTTATCCTATCACCAATAGGACAGAAGAGTCTTTTTGTCATATCCTGGGGCCCTTGGCCTTTTTGCATGTACTTACTTCATGTACCTGTATTCCTTAGATAGTGGCTCAAAGCAAACGTGGCATTTAACAAAGTGTGAAGACTTTTTGCATAAATGTTATATACAAGATAGGGAAGTTATAAATAGGATTTCATAACAACCCAAGCATTTGGATCTAAACTTACTTGTAGTGCCAATTTTACATTTAGGCCTTAGTTCGTGTTTTATAACTGGGAGTAAGGCCCTGTTTTAGTGCTTTGTAGAAACCATAATAAACCAATTTGTCATTCTTTACAAGAATTCCCCAAGAGTCACGACAGGTAAATAGGATTATTTTATTGCCTTTTTTCATCTTCTGTATTTTGATACTTATCTTCCATAGATATTTCATAACTTCTTATCTTCTAATTGGATGTGACATATTGGCAAGAGCAAAAGGCTTTATCCTTATCCCAAATTTGTCCCATCTATTTGTGTTTACAACTCTATTTTCTTCCCGATAATGAATATCATTCTGATTAGAGTACCTGTGCTCATTCTGTCAATTTGTACAGGTATCTCCCAAATCATTCCTTACCTTTTGACTATTTATGAACTAAGTATAAATTATCTAGGCCTGCATTGTGTGATATAGTTACCAACTTTTCCTTTATTCCTAAAGATGGGTCTTTCACCATTTGGTGTGATGGAGCCAGTTTATGAAACTACAGCTGAGTATGATGACATAAGTTTGTTTTGTTTTGTTTGGAAGACAGATTTTTGCTATAGGGTGCATGCACTTGCCAGAGAGACAGACAGTGAGAAATCATCCCCCAGGGGTTTTGGCCACAGTGCATTCCCTTCTTCTCTATTCTCCTCTTGGGATTTTGGGTACATATACACATGTGCCTGGTATGAGTTTAAGCCATCCAGTCTAGGATGCGAACCACGGTCAATAACGTGGGAGTCCAGTGATGTAACCATCATGTCATTGCTGGTCCCATCATGGCTTAAGCTTTAGTCAGTGGTCAAGGAATGGAGAAGTGGAAGTCCAGCTCACAAATTCACTTCTTTATTATTTTGAGGTGAAGAGTTTAAGAAACAGCAAGCATGGAGTGAATTTTTTAGGGTGTTACATATTCTTTATGTTTTCATGCTTCAATAAGTAAGTGTTAATTTAAGAATGTATTATCCTATACAAATCTTTGATAATAAGTAAGTGTTAAGAATGTATTATCCTATACAAATCTTTGAATAACTGCCTTTTCTTTAAGGCACCATTTTTCCAACCACTCTGAACACTTAACCTTTTATTTCCAAAATATTACAGTATGGTTTGGAAAGGATTATGAGTGAAGAGAGAAGTCTTTCCTTATTGGCCAAAGCTATGGACCCCAAGCACCCCAATATGATGACTGATGTGGTTAAACTCCTTTCTGCAGTTTGCATTGTAGGGGAGGAAAGTATGTAAGTGTTCTCATTTTTTTTTCTAATTATGTAATAATTTCACACAGTTTGATTCATTTAATGTATTTTTTCTAATTTAGAATTTACTTTAAATCTTGAGGTATATTCATGTAAATGATTATTTGTATTAGCTGAACAGAAATGTTTGAGTAATAATTATTTCTCTTAACATATTAGTTTTGGGCTAAAATGTTTCTATGAAAAACTGATTTTTCATTCATGTTAGGAGAACTCACTTTATAAGTTAAGTGAGATATAGTGATTGAATGTATAAAATTAAAAAAAATGATACTTTTATATTTGTTTTAGCTGCTAAACCTAAACCGTAAATAAAAAATCTAAATGAATATTGAAAAATATACCAGGGTGTTTTGTTATCTATCCCCCTTCATATAGAATTAGTTCAAACTGTAGCTCATATATATCCCCTTGTGAAGGTAAACATATTGTTTAAAAATTTCCATGTGCAGATATTTAGCATATGTGAAATGGGGACATACAGTGCCTCTCTTTCATGGTGTGGCTTGCTTTGCTCAGCATAAAATCTTCCATATTCATCCATTTCTCTCAAATGTGTCTGCACTCTGTGGCCGAAACTGAAAGACTAGAAGGCATAAAAGCATGAACAGCAACCTCTGACACCTGAGACAGTTTGGGAGCAGGGCGGGAAGTGCGTGTGTGTTTGGGCAAAATCAAGGGGTTGGGGGGAAGAGAAAAACATTTGATGGACAAAAAGATGGAAAATTATCTGTTGATGACAATATTTATGATAATTTCTTTGACCAGAATAATAGGATATTCATGGTGAGAAAATTCATTTTTACTGTTGTAAAGAGTGAATGTAAAAAATTTTAAAAAAAGTATATGTGAGGCAGATTTACAAAATGGTATATGGAATACTTCTTTTCTGTTAGAGTACAAAGTTCTTGACTATAAAGACCATTTTAAAGCATTAAAGACATTAACCAAATTTATTAAGACTGCAACTAAACAACCATTATATATATATTAAAGATAATAATTATAAAGATAAATTTGCTTTCCTTTTAAAGAATAGTGGTGTTTTATTTATAAGGAAGCATTTAAAAATTATTAAAATGCCTTTTCTTTTTTTTTTTTGGAGAGGTTTTTTCGCTATAGGGCTTGTGCGCTCGCCAGACAGAGAAAGACATAGAGACAGAAAGCGAGAAATCACCCCCTAGAGGGGATGGCCACGCTGCAATCCCTTCTCCTCCATTCTCTTCTCGGGATCTTGGGCACGCACGCACACGTGCCTGGTGTGAGTTTTAAGCCACTGGGTCCGGGATGTGAACCACAGTCGACCACGTGGGAGTCCAGCGACATAGCCATTACGCTAACTGCTGGTTCCCAAAATGCCTTTTCAAAGTGATAAAAATGTCAAAACTGAACAACCAAAAGATCTGACAGAAATATTCCTACCCTCTTTAGGTAGTTAGAACACTGTAAGTGGAGTGTCCTGCATTCATTTGAAAGTCAGCCTTGGGAGAGCCTGCTGGAATTGGTGGGATTGAGCTGACTCACTTTGGCCCCAGTTAGAGAGTTTAAGGTCCACTCAGGCCTGGCCTGACTCTTGGCCCCCACTGTGTGCCTACATTGTATATTTATAGTAGATGCTTAGTTTTTCCCAGCGGTAGTCCCAAATGTACAAAGCAAGACACCCAGCTTCTATTATTTTTATGTTTTCTTGACTTCAGATTTGATAACAAAATGATATAAATAACATTTAGATATACAAGCCTGTATCTACAAACTGCAAATTTCTGTATTGTGCTAGATATTGTTACTATAACTTCTTTAGAAGAGGAAATGTAGTTCTTGCATAATTGTATTTTATATTTGAATATTTGTAATACTGTACTATATATTTTTGGCTATTACAACTCCATTTACTTAAACTCAAGAGGCATTAGAGTGTAGTTGTTGAAAGCGTTTAGATATTGATAATTTATAAATAGACTCTGGTTTCAGGTCCTTGCTTCACCATTTAGTAGATGTGCGATCTTGGACAAGTTGCTTGAAGTTTTTCTGCCTTCATTTTCTAATATATGTTATAGGTTAATAATAGTACTACCGTGTAATGAATCCAAGTTTGATTCCAGTTCAAATTTTGTTAAAATGCTCATAATCCCAATATTTAGCATGTTTTATTTTGTATTTAATATAATATAGTAAAATTATACTCTGAGATAGTAAAAAAAAATAGTACTACCTTATACAGTTGTGACGCTTTAAAATGAGTTAATATGTGTATACTGATTCAAATGTTGACTGAGATGTAGTAACATTTTTTTAATGCTCAATAAATAAACATTCTTATTAGGAATAAATGAATTAAAACAACATGCTAAGAATGTACATGGTAGATGTTATGTACTCAGTAGGCTACTTCTAAAATGTTATTGGTTTCTTAGGTGTATTGATTCCTTTAGTATTGCTCCTTTAGTGTGATGATCAATTGTACTATGACATTTGTGTTGTTACTTGCAATTTAATTAATACTTTCAAAATTTTAAATAGCCTTGAAGAAGTTTTAGAAGCTTTAACTTCAGCTGGAGAAGAAAGAAAGATTGACAGATTTTCCTCTATTGTGGAAGGCCTTGGGCACAATTCAGTTCAGCTGCAAGTAGGTTTTATATATATACATCTGTTTTTAAGACATGTCATACATATTGTTTTGTAATTGTTCTGTGACTGGCTTTTATGTAAACACTATATTATGAAACTGTTCATGCTACTTAATATTGCTTTATAGTATTATTTTTAATGAATGTACAGAATTCCAATTTATATTATGTTGTAATTTATCTTGTATATGTGTTTAGGCAAACACCTACAATAACTTACTTAGGTTAGTTATTTAGGAGTTGAATTCTAGATTTATATTTGAAATACATAATCATGTCCTATGAACTGTTCTTTTAGTCTTATTAGTTGAGTTTTATAAAAACTTTTAGACATTTATTTCATGAGAAAAAGTCAGAAAGACAAGGTCTCAACAGAATCCTAGTTCACATTCCACTCCAAGCCTTTCAACCAGTCATGATCACATGCACATGTATGTGCACCTGACATTTACAAGTTGTCCCGGGAATCAAACCTGGATCTCCCTGATGACTTCCAGCATCACAGGGTATCGTGTCACTGCTGTGATACCATGGGCTGGACCTTTTATAATTTTTAAGAAGTTTTGCCAATTATGTTAATTACGACTTGTCTTTAATTTTTGAAACTAAAATGTTGAGCATTTACATGGATAATAATGAAACTCAATTTATAAATATTTTCAGTAATATTCCCCAAAGTCACATTTTGGCTTATGCATTTTTTCCAGACTGAAAACTAATATTTATTTAATTTCTCCTTTTGTGAGAAAGATAGGTTAGGCCAATTTAATTATTTATTTTATATATAGTATTCTAACTTTCCTGAAGGTGCAAAATTGTATAAAAATATTTCTATGGTTATGATAAATTCATATCACATTAGTGACTATCCCTAGAAAACTTTCAACCAAAAATTTGAAGGTTTTTTTTTTTTCTTACTCTCCTACAGAAGATTAAGACTTCAAGAAAATTAAAAAATTCTATTTAAATATTTTATACTCTTTTTTTAACAGTTATACTCAGTTAGAATTTACATATTATTTATGTCTTAGTCTGTTTATGCATTGCTGACAGAAATACTGAGACTGGATGAATTTAAGAGAATAAAAAGTTATTTGACTCACTCTTCTGGGGGTTGGTAAATCCAAAGCTATCACAAAATGGCCAGAGGCAGAACTTTTAGCAGAGCAGAGCGAGGTCTATATCCAGTTAGCCTCATTTCTTCACTGTGTGTATGTATGTGTATGTATGTGTATATATATATATATACACACGCACACACACACACACACCAGAACACACACACACATACATATACACACACACACATATATATATATACATATACACACACAGAGATATATATATATACACACACACACACACACACACATATATATATATATATATATAACCACACACACCCCCACACACCCACACACACACACACATATATACACACACTCACACATAAACACACACACACAGGAACACAGTCATGGGGTCCTGCCCTAACCACCCAATCACTAATCTCTTTCCAAAGACGCCTTTTAACAACATAATCAGATTAAATTTTTACCCCTTTACTCGTATTAAAATGACTGAGCATATGAATTTTGGTGGACACATTCAAGCTACAGCAAATACTTAACCCATTTAAGGTGTTTTTATATATTCATAGAACTGAGTAACCTTCACCACAACTAACTTTAGAGCATTTTTATTACCCTCAAATGAAAGCCCTCACTTTTTAGCTACAACCACATAATTGACCTATTCCCTCTTGCCTGAGCCCACCACTGATTACTTTCTTTTTGTTTAGATTTGCACATGTCAGACATGTCACATAAATGCAGTCATGCAGGTGACTAGAGATGGGGCAGAGGAAGGCTAGTAGGAACATTTTTCTTTTGCAGTTGTAGATGCTATATATGTGACTCAATTCTTGAGAAGATTTTGCAGAGATACATTGCCTCCATTGTAAGTGTATTTTCTGTTATAGTTAGTATTATTATTTTGTGATGACCTATAAACACTAAAATGCACTTTTTTTGTTGCTGTTAATTTTGTTAGAGGGTATGTGTGCTCACCAAAGAAACAGAGAGAGAGAAAGTTAGAAAGCACTACCCCATAGACAGTGGTCATGCCACAGTCCTTCTCCATTTCTCTGAGATTTGGGGCATGCACGCTCCCAGGCCCTGTGTGGTTTTCAAGCCACCAGGTCCAGTCCAGGACTGAAACCACGGAGGTGGCCATGTGCAATGCAAATGCCTCACCCACCGTACTACTAACTGGCCCTACATTACTTTATATATGTTTAAGGAATCATTTTAATGAAAATGTGAAAGTCATCTTAGCCTCATTTAAGCTCGTTTCTTCCTTATTTTTCTGATATGTTCAGTTCTGTGTTCTTGATAAGTATAGATCATGTGAAGAATTGTTCTAAATTCTTATTTTCCCTATAAGACCATTTTTGTTGTGGGTTTTTATTTTTTAATAAAGCCTTCTCATTGTTTTTCAGCCTACTGTGTGAAATAGCTAGTAGGTGTGACAAGCTTAAGAGTAAAAGGTATTTTCCAGAGAGCCAACTTAGGCCATAAAAAAACAAAACAAAACAAAAAAACGTAAAATACATTCTCTTTTCTAGGATTGCTGATTATGCTTTATGTTCTTGGAAATTATCATACAACACTTTAGTAGTATCTAAAAATACTTTTTTCTCAGATGTTTCTGAATTTTCTACGAAGTATATTTTAGAGCTGGCTAGGTATCAATTTTCCCATAAAGCTATTGCTCTTAGTGCCCATTTTATTCCATTAGTGATATAATTTGCATTTATGAAAATGTACTAGTCTAGGCGATATTAGCCAATCACCAAATTAAAAATAAAGCTTGTTTGTTGTTGAATAAAATAGAAACCAATTGTTTGCTTTTAAATGGGAGAAAATAGGAGATAGTACAATAAAAAACCTTTCTATCACAAGGTATATTTATAATGAAGTACTTTTAAAATCAGGAGTTTTAGATTTTCTTGATAGTTTGATCATAATAACAAAGATAATTTGATGCCTATGATTATGATAGAATTGAGCATACTCTTTCCTTCTTTTGCATAGTACAGTAAGATGGAAAAAGTGTACCCGAAATATGCAACTTATTGAAGTTATTAGCATGGCTTATAAACTTATCTGGAAAGAAACTTCAACTGTAAATAAGGTTTAAAATAAGTGTACATTGCTTTGTTTCTTCAGTATATCAGAGTATAAAAAATATTCTGTAAAAAAGATTTCTAAGTATTAATTAGTACTTAATGTCTAGAATTTCCAATGCTTCTAGTTTTCAGAGTCTCTATGCATTGTAGTGGGTTGTCAGAGAAGTCACGATGTATTTCTCTATGCAAAAATGTGCCATGACATTTCTGACGACCTACTTATAATGTAAAATACTTTGCTGATGCTATAGTTTGAGCATTAGAAAGATACACTTCATGTCTCAAATATAACTGCCAAGTTTCAGAATTAGCCAATCAGTTAATTATTCAGTGACTGATAATTCTGTGGTATCTTTTGGAACTGCAATAATGAATGAATTAGACTCCTGTCCTTAAGCTTATACTCAGGAATTTAAATATGACATTTCATATAAAAATTGCAGTACTCATGGTTCAAAAACATGCATGGGAAGAAATCAAAGAAATTACTGATGTTTAGGGATATTGTCTGAATAAATATTTTTAAAAATCCAAGTTTGTTCTTCTTACTTCTCGTTCATATACATTATAGGCTCTTAAGTCCAGCAATTTGTTTTTCTGAGTCTGTACGAGTATATGCAGTTACTTCAAGCTCTCACTTGCCCTCTATCACTGTCATTTTCAGAAAATTCAACTGGAAGTATAAGTAAATGACAGAATTTTACATGTGCTGATGATACGTTTCACTATTTCTGTGGTTATCTTGTAATATAGTCTTTTTGGTTTTTATTCTGAATTAATGCATGTGGATAGAATTTAAAAATCTTTGAAGTTTCTTTATTTGCACTGGAGGTGAACTATTTCTCTGTAAGCATCATTTACTCATTTTAGCTTGATGAATATGAATTTTGATTGCGCAAAGAGAGACAGATCATTTCTGCTCTGGGGTTGGTAAGATGAATAGCAGTCTAAGCTGTATCTTCCAGGCCTAGATAATAAGTATTCATAGACTCTGTTAGAATTTTTATTTAAATGTTTTACTGGTACTTATTTTCAATCTGGATTTACTCCTGAAGCTGATATGTTTATACAATGTAGTGTAGTCATCATTTTACTTGTGAAAACATCTACCTGTTTCTGGGACAAACATGTTGACCTCAGAGTGAACTTTCTAAAGACAATTTACTTTTTGCTGTTGGTTATACTGTTTTCCAAACGTGTTCAGCACAATCATGTAGAAAGCATCTACTTTTTTGATGTGTTTTTTTTTTTTTTAAAAACGAGTTGTTTCTTTTGGATGGATCTCAGATATTGTATCTGAGAATGTTTCTTGAGTTTTTTGCTTAAACTTGTTTGTCCTAAATGGGTCAGAAATCAAAGGTTAAAAACACACAGTGTTTAAGGTTTTTTTTTTTTTTAATATTTGTGTAGAGCATAGTAATAGATAGCGGTAAATTGTGTACTGGTGGAAATTTAGGCATTATTATTCATATATGAAGAAACCTCTATTCTCAAGGGCAAGAGGCTATGTTGCTTATTAAATGATGTAGATAGGGGGATGGTCCTCTGTCTTGCAGTTAATCTTTTTCTACTTGTAATGATTTTCCTTTGATTATTTCCTTTGTTCATGAGATTGTCTTTGACTGACCTCATCCTACATATTGCATATTATTACTTTTCTGTTTATAGTTTATCTAGTTGCTTCCTGGTCTGTATCTTTAGCATCCTAGTTTATGACATTGCTGACATTTGTAATTGTCTTTTTGGATGCTCACTTGCTTGGTCTTAGATTGTCTAGTCTTTGCTGATTTCAGCACTTGTTCTGCATTT